TAACAAGTAACACTGAAACATATCTGAAGGGGCAAGGGTTTTTTTTCCCCCAGAAGGGTTGCATTCCTATTCTCTTATAAGAAGGTCAGCATTTCCTATGAACAGGTTACATGCTGCTAACACAAATACATTACACAGGATTTACTTTTATCAGTGTTTAGGATTGAAGCTGGAAAGTCTGCCATTTACTCAGATACATTTCATCTTAAAACTAGGCAGTGATGGATTACAAAGGATATTTGTACCAATGGAGAAGAACTATGCAATAAGTACAGATGAAGCCTTAAAAAAAAACTTTATTTGATATAATGGCAAAATTATCCTCATGGTCTTAATGATCAGGAAAAAAAATCGGACCCATCCTAAAGGGGAAGGATAAGTGAAGGCTTAATTACTAAACCTACATTTCTAAGTAGTACATTCTCTTCAGACTTGAGACACTGTACTATTTTACTTAAAGCACTGATTAGGTAATTGTTTTCCTTCAACAGAAAACAAGTTGCATAAATGAAAAGAGTTAAGACTAAAACAGGAAGAGACCTGACAAAATAAGAACAGATACTTCTCTTTTTTTAAGAAAACCCCCATCAATATTCTTACATGCAACCTGGATTTTTCAACAAGAATTTTACTTCTTCAGAAACATAATTACAAATATATTTTTGTGAGAAATGACCCTTTTTAAAATAACGTTTTCAACATTTAAAATCACTCATAAAACTGTCAAGACCCAAAACACTACAGGAGCAAAACCTTCTTGAATTAAGGGGTCCTATGAAAATACAGTGACATACTTTCCACAGAGATAAAAAGATCCCAGTCCTGTCAAAATACTAGCTCCCCATGTTGATCAGCAACAGGAGGAATTTACAGGGCTTGGAAGGAGTCATTTACATTTGGTCATTCAGGAGAGTAGAAAAGACTGCCCCCTCTCAGGTGAGAGTTGAAATTCAAAGGATGGAAGACCCTTTCTTCGAACAGCTCTGCCAAATAAGACAAGAACAGACTCCTAATTTCTCATGGAGATGGAGAACTGAAGATTAATCCTGGGAGAGGGCACGCAGGATTGCTACGAGTAGGTTACAAATAAGCTAGGAGAATCAAAGGACTACGATCGACCCCTCTTTCCGAAGGCATTTGAAGGCTCCAACTTCCAGGAGAAATGAGCAGAGAAGGGCGAGGATCGCCTCTTACCGTGACTATCCTTGTTACCGATGCCCTGCGTGCGGATCAGTGCCGACAACCGCCTCACGTCCCCCTTGAAGACACACTCGTGCACGGGGAACTGCGTGCTCGGGGGCTTGATGGGGTCGAGGGTGGAAGCGGCGGGGGAAGAGCTCCCGGGCCCTCCTTTGAGCGGCAGCCGATAATGGTTGGTGAAGATGCGGTGGCTCGAGCTGCGGCCGCCCTTG